TCACTCCCCGCTCCCTCCGGCGCCAAGGCTGCCTCCGGTCGCTGCACGAGGGACCGACGCCGCCGCGCCGGGACCGCGTTGTCGTTGCCGACCACGTCTGACTCGAGCGCCTGGCAGGAGAAGCCGCGGATCCGCAAAGAGCGCCTCGACAACCGCGAGGATCGGGTACACGGGTGGTGTTGGTGAGCGACGAGACCAGTATCTCAGGCAGGTACCTTCCCGCCTCCAAACGCCATGCGGGCGGGGCGGTCCGCCCCCCACACCTACCCCTCCCCCTCGGGGCTTTCACGTGACGTCACGAGCACTGACGCCCTGACCTCATGTGTGTGGAGGGGGTTGGGGGGGGGGGCATCCACAACGCGCGTGGTGGAGGTTCCTCCTCAACCCTTCTCATGAGGCACGAAAGGAAGCACGCACACGTACAAGCACACATGCACGCGCACGTACACACGCATACAGTACATGTGCTTCACGCAAGCGACCAGTCCGGGGAAAAATTAAACGACACGTACACGATGAAAAAAGGTGGCAGCGCGAGTTGCACAAACTGGAAAAGTAGACCCAAATTTTAGGATTTTAGAAGAGGGGATGATAAGAGGATAGTTGGATGTCAGGCCAACCTAACCCTCTGACCCCGTATACAGGGTAAATACGTGGAAAACATGTATTTAAAAAAACCCCTCAACAATAATACCGATATTAAGGGTATCGTTCGGTAGGTTATAAAGCAGGGGTTTGTCCGAGAGGCTGCTGCTCGCTCCATGTCGGAAGCGAGCAAAGGGAAGAAGGGTGGTCGCTCGGGGGGAGGGGCGCGGCGGGGTTGACAGGGGTACTAGGAGAGGGGTTTTGAAACTGGAGGACCATTGGCGCCACCGTATCTCGGTATCAAACCCGCCGGAGCCGCCTCCCGCTCGCCCCCTCTTCCAGCAGGCTGACAGGCCATTAAGTCCTCTGTCACGGCGAAGGGCGCGCGACTACCCCGCAAGATATTTATCGAAGCGTTTATTTACTTTTCATTAAGTCGCCGGGAAAAAGTTTTTCCGCGAGGCCCCGTCAAGGTGGTTCGAGCCGCGCGCCCGGGCAGAGCCGGGGCGAGCGGGGAAAGGGGGAGCGCTTCTGCAGCTCTGTAAATTGCTATCCTCTTGCTCGGGGGAAATAACAACTCGCGGAGCTGGGCGGGCAGTTAAGTGGAGGCGCGGCGCCATTCGCTAAGCAATCGGCGCGCGAATGTGCGCGAGGGTGACTGGAGGGCTCCAATTTACATAACGCGGCGGGAGAGGGAAAAAATAATGGCGAGGAATCGGGGTGCATGGAGCGGAAGGGCAGGCGGGCGGGGCGCTCGCCACCAATAAAAGAAAGGGAGCGTGTTAGGATGTATTTGCATGTCATGACGTCAAGTTTCACGATCGAAGTCAAGGTGCTGGCGTGTGGAGGCGTGACGGTAGGCCCTGGCCACGTGTGGCGTGTATGCGGCAGAGGGTCAACACGAGGAGGGGTGCACAGGCGAGCCCCCCCTGGCCGGGCAGCCTACCGGATGGAGACCTCAGCGGGCGGCGGCGCCTGAGCAGGCCGCGGAGCCTGCGCGAGCGCCGGAGCGGCACGCAGCCGCCGGAGCCGCGCCGGCCGCCCTTGTGCGCGGTCCCCGGGGACGCCATGCTGGCCGAGGCAGCGGGCGCCGCCGCGCAGCAGGTGGCCGTGGACGCGGGCGGCGCGGCCGATGACGGCGGTGGCGGGCGCCGCGGGGGCCTCCTCGGGGGCCGCGTCAACGGCAGCGACCGACGGCGCCGGGGGCCCGCGGCAGCTGCCTTGGGTGGCGTCAGCGCGCGCACGCGGCCGTGCCGGGTGGACCGCAGGACCGCGGGCGGCGGCGGCGGCGGCGTTGGCGTCGCGGGGTCCGCCGCCCCGAGCCGCCGCCGCGATCGCGCCGCCCCCCGGGCCGCCCCGCGCGTCGCTATTGTGTGGCCGCGGTGGCGCCCCTGCACGCCGCTGACAACCACAAGGGCGAGTGCGTGCCGGCCACACAACAACAAAGACGCGTGCCGGGCGCGCGGCAGCAGCAGTGGCGGACTGCTGCAGTGGGCGACTGCGGGCCGCGCGG